AAACCTATCATCAGAGTGAACAGACAACCTATAGAATGGGAGAAAATTTTGGCAATCTACCCATCTGAGAAAGGGCTAATATCCAGAATCTACAAAGAACTTAAACAAATTTACAAGAAAAAAACAAACAACCTCATCAAAATGTGGGCAAGTGATATGAACAGACAGTTCTCAAAAGGAGACATTTATGCAGCCAACAAACATATTTTAAAAAGCTCATCATTACAAATCATCAGAGAAATGCAAATCAAAACCATGATGAGATACTATCTCATGCCAGTTAGAATGGTGATCACTAAAAAGTCAGGAGACAACAGATGCTGGAGAGGATATGGAGAAATAGGAACACTTTTACACTGTTGGTGGGAATGTAAATTAGTTCAACCATTATGGAAAACAGTGTGGTGATTCCTCAAGGAGCTAGAACTAGAAATAGAATTTGACCCAGCAATCGCATTATTGGGTAAATGCCCAAAAGATTACAAATCATTCTATTATAAAGATACACACACATGCATGTTTATTGTGGCACTGTTTACAATAGCAAAAACTTGGAACCAACCCAAATGCCCATCAATGATAGACTGGATAAAAAAAATGTGGCACATATATGCCATGGAATACTATGCAGCCATAAAGAAGGATAAGTTCATGTCCTTTGCAGGGACATGGATAAAGCTGGAAACATCATTCTCAGCAAACTAATACGAGAACAGAAAACCGAACGTCATATGTTCTCACTCATAAGTGGATGTTGAACAATGACAAAACATGGACACAGGGAGGGGAACATCATACACCGGGGCCTGTCAGAGGGTGGTGACTAGGGGAGGGACAGCATTAAGAGAAATACCTAATGTAGATGGGGTGATGGATGCAACCAAGCACCGTGGCATGTGTATACCTGTGCAACAATCCTGCATGTTTTGCACATGTACCCCAGAACTTAACATACAACAGAAAAAAATTAGGACTAATACAAAGTAGCTAAATACAATTAAGTTAGTAGAATAGTGGGAGAAAGAGTGGAAAGATGGATGGAGGCCATATTTATGCAGCTCATAAATGCAAGACTGAAAAGTTGATTTTTATTGTGTGTAAAAACAGCTATAGATAGAATTTATTGCATGTGCACACTGTGCTCATCTCTCTAAAACATACTCCCATTTTTATACTTATATCTTTCCTGTGAAATTGAAATTATTTCCGTTTTACAGCTGAGGAAACTAAGGGGGTTAAGAAATGTGTCGAAGATCACACGGCTAGTCAGTGACAAATTAAAGATTTAAACTGAGATCTGTCTGATTTCAAAGACTGTGCTTTTAACTGGAGGCAAAATTTGTGAACAGTCAAAAGCACAGATTTGAAGTATGTAATTCTGAGTTCTGACAAAGGTATATACCCATGTGACCAGATCGCCAAACAAAACAGAGCATTTTTCTATCACCTCCTATCTCTTCCAGTGAATCACCACCTCCCAACAGATAACCAGTGCTGTGGTTTCCATCACCATAAATAAATTTTGTCAGTTCTGGAACTTCATATAAATGGAAGCATACAGTAAATATTATTTTATGTCAACTTTTTTTTCATTCAGCTTGATTCTTTTGTGGGTCATCCATGTTTTGTATGTGCCAGTAGTTTGTTTTTTTTAATTGCTGACTAGTATTTCATTGTAAGAGTGTACCATGATTTATTTATCCTCTCTAATGTTGATGAACATTTAAGTTGTTTCTAGTTTGGTGCTGTTAATTATAAAACTGGCATAAACATTCTTGTATAATCTTTCTGTGAACATATGCTTTTATTTCTCTTGGATAAATAACTTGAAAATGAAATTACTGATCAAAGATTAGGTGCAATTTGTAAGAAACTGCATTTTTTTTTCCGAAGTGATTGAACTCCTTTACACTCCCAACAGCAGTAGAAGAGTTCATATTGTTTCACATCCTTGCTAACATTTGGTGTTGTCAGTCTTTTTAATTTTAGTCACTTTAGTGGGTGTGAAGTGGTATCTCATCATGCTTTTAATTTTCATTACCCTCAAGATTAATGGCAATGTGTGTCTTTTCATGGGCTTATTAGTCATTCACATAGAAATTTGTTGTTGTTGTTAAGTGTCATTCACATAGAAATTTGTTGTTGTTGTTAAGTGTCTAAGATTTGTGGTCATTTTTATCAGGTTATTTCTCTTTTCCAATTGAGTTGTAGGAATTCTTTATATATTCTGGTTTCAAATTCTTTATCAGATATATGCAAAGCAAATAGTATTAACCGGTCCGGTGTGGTTTGCCTCTTAATTTCTATAATGGTGACACTGGGTGAACAGAAGTTTTAATTTTGATGAAGTGAAATATTACTTTTATAAGGGTATAGATTTTTGGATCCTGTGTAATCTTTACCTACCCCAAAGTCCAGTGATATTCTCCTAAATTTTATTTTGGAAGTTTTATAGTTTTAGCTTTATGTTTACATTTGTGATTCACCTAGAATTAACTTTTTAAGTTGTATAGGGTAGGGGTAGAGGTTTATTATTTGTTGTTATTTTCTTCTTACATGGGGTTATCCAGTAGTTCTAGCATTATTTGTTGAAAAGACTTACCCTTCCCCATTGAATCACTTGCATATTTTGTTGAAAGTCAATTGACTGTGTATGTTTGGATCTATCTCTGCACTCTTAATTCTATCCTACTAATACATTTTGTCTAGCTTTACATCACTTCCAAACTGGCTTGATTTTTATAGCACTGTAATTTATCTTGGATTCAGGTAACGTGAGTCCCAAAACTTGTCCATAATTTTCAAAATTCTTTTTGGCTATTCACATCCAAACATTTACCAAGTGTATTTACGTCACACTTCTATTTAAACTCTGGAATCAACTCTAATATCTCTTTTATTTTTCAGAGTAGTCAAGTATATTAGTAAGAAGGGGGAACAAGGAATTCTATCTGTGACTGTGAACAATCAGTTGAGATAACTCACTATTTTCAGACCAGCCTCAACTCTAAATTTGTATTGGAATTTCATTGACTCTGTAGTTCAATTTTGAATACACTTTACTGCTGTATATTGATCTGTTATCCTGTGACCATGGAAGAGTTTTGACTAGTGCAATGAAATGATCAAAGAGGCATTTCAGAAAAAAATGAGCAGAAGAATTGCTCACTGATATATTGATCAGATGCTTCCCATGAGGATACGTGAGCCTTACCCTGAGGCATAACCATAGATCATAATTCTGACCCTGTAGTAGCTGCCTATACATTTGTGCTTATAACAGTGTGTTAGCTCTTGGGCCAAAGAATGTAGATAAATGGTTGCAAACACATCCATCACTTAGAATGGCAAAGCAACTCAAAGCATATACTCTAGAAATGGAAGCACAGTAGAGTCCTCTTCATCTGTGAAGATTGGTTGAACGCTCCTATTAAATTGCACTCAGTGCCAAAGCTCCTTTACACATAATTTGGTAGTGGTGAAGTATATGTGTATGAGGGACTGCAGGTTAATATCCCTTATCTAAAATGCTTAGGACCAGAAGCATTTCAAACTTCAGATGTTGTTAGAATTTAGGAATATTTGCATATACATAATGAGGTATCTTGGGGATGGGACCTAAATCTAAACACAAGATTTATTTATATTTGTCAGATACACCTTAGACACATAGCCTAGAGGTAATTTTATACAATTTTAAAAATAATTTTTGTGCATGCAACAAAGTTGGTTACCTTAAATCATTGGAAAGGAAAGGTATCACTATCTCAGCCACCCATATGGAGGATCTGTGGTTGTCTGGCATCAGCATCATTCCTAACTCTGAATTTATATGCTACCAATAAGCAATCACTTTCTTACAATTACTCACACATAAGTACTTAACAGTAAAAAAAATGACATACCATTAATACAGTGATATACCATTAATACAGTCAAAACTTAATGTGTTTGGGTAACTCAGCAGCACAGTAGCATCACCAGAATACCTGTATCCACTGTTTAACAGCAGCAACAGCAAACAACAGCAGGCTTTCGGTCTCCACCTATGATGTGTTTTCATTAAAAGTTTTCACGTACACTGAATTTTATATCTAAGGGAAGAAAAAACACCAGAAGCAATTGAGGGACCAGGAAGTGGGCCCTCTAAGGAAGAGGAGGTATTTTGATAGATGGCTTTTTATGTTGTTTTCTCCAGAGTCATTTGCTTCATTAAAAATGGTTTTTGCCTTAGAAGTCTCTCTTTGATTTTATAAACTGACATGATTTCTTGTTCTGTTGTGAATGCACACTGCTCTAGTCCTTCATTAATCCAATCACATATTTTCACTATGTTGTCTATAGATACTTTTTCTGTGGTGTCAGCAACATCACCACCTTATTACATTTTGGCTATTTTACCATTAGTCAATGAATGAACAACTTGAGCCTCATTATTGATGTGAATAATTTCTTTGATATCTACTTCTTCCAGCTTGCTGATAGACTCTGAAGGTATATTTTTTTGCCAAAGTAAAGGAGGTCGGGTTTTATTTTTTTCTCACTTGACATAAAAAGTTTTTTAGAGTCACCATCTTCTTTATCATCATTGAACACAGTCATAGGCTGGAGGTTATGCCAGGCATACCCAACTGTGTCTTTAGTCTCTGTGCCCAAGCATTGGCAATAGTATACATGACATCCTTCATGCTAAACTCCTTTTGAAAACCTTCCACATTCATACCTCTGTTCAGTGCTGCTAGCTTGCTTTTCAAAAAGTGTTTTTATATTTACTTTTCATTGATCGAAGGACATTCTGATCACATAGCTAAGCTAATGAAGCCATATTTGGAGGAAAGTATATGGCATAAACATTATTTTTAATGAGAATTCCAGCTGAAGAATGAGCCAAAAGTTGTCAGGGAATAACAAAGTCTTTCAATCATCTTTCAGTCCAGTTTCCCTGTAGTAAGCCTGAGTGGCTGGTACAAAATGTTTATGAAACCAATCAGAAAGATGTTCCTGGTGATCCATGCCTTTTTGTTAGCATAATAATGGACTGGTAAGAAATTCACTCCTTAAAAACAGTGAAGATGCAAGCTGCTGCCTATCACAATATGTTTACACGTATGTGTGCCTGCTGCATTAGCACATCCCAGCTCAGTTATTCTGCCTTTGGCATCCTTAATTTCCTTAGGAACTGTATCATCAGTGGTAGTCAGTATAGTTCCAGGGCTATCATGCCAAAATAGTGATGCTTCATCAGCATTATAGACTTGTTCTGGCGTAACATTTTCATCAGTAATGACGCAGGCCATCATCAGTGATGACCTTGGCAAATTTGCTAATGAATTTCTTTACTGCTTCATGATCAGCACATGCTTTACTATCACAAATCTTTAAACATGTAATACTATGTCTAAAAAATATCTGCACCCAGCCTGTTGAATATTCACCCAGCCATTCGCAGTTCATCATGACAGATCTTTGCTGGTTTCATCATCAGCGCATCCTTAAGTGGCATAGGTTCCTTGCAGCACTGATGGATCTACTCTTTTAAAACACGATTGAAATCTTCCTTTCAGCTTTTTTTTTTTTTTTTTTTTTTGAGACGGAGTTTTGCTGTTGTTGCCCAGACTGGAGTGCAACGGCACAATCTCGGCTCACCATAACCTCCGCCTCCTGGGTTCAAGCAATTCTCCTGCCTCAGCCTCCCGAGTAGCTGGGACTACAGGCACACACCATCATGCCCAGCTAATTTTTGTATTTTTTAGTAGAGACGGGGTTTCACCTTGTTGACCAGGCTTTTCAGCTTTTTACAGTGTTTTTCTATTTTTCATTAACTTCTGTTTATCACTTTCTGTGTGAACTTCAACAGTTTATCCTTCTGTCTCTTCAGGTCATATGTGGTGGTCATTTCAACACCATACTCTTCTATAAGACATTTCACACATATATCACTGTCCAGTTTCTCCCCCGTTTCACTTTCACTGCTATAGATAAATATAAATCATTCTTTTTAAAATTACTGTTACCCATAGTGGCATCTACTGGCCTTTTTGACATTTTCAACAATATTTTACAATACATATCAGAAAATAGGCAAAAACACACAGTGAGTAATGCATATTGGTCTTAGCCCCATGTGGGGCATTGTGGGAAACCTACCCTTGGTGTGCCTGATTATCACAATGCCATTTTATTGTCCTTTGTGGGCATGATTGCATGGGGGAATCTGGGCATCATCAGAAAAGGTGGGGGCTTGAAGAGTCCTTTTTTTTTTTTTTTTTCTTTTGAGATGGAGTTTCCCTCTTGTTACCCAGGCTGGAGTGCAATGGCACAATCTCGGCTCACCGCAACCTCCGCCTCCCGGGTTCAGGCAATTCTCCTGCCCCAGCCTCCTGAGTCGCTGGGATTACAGGCACGCGCCACCATGCCCAGCTAATTTTTTGTATTTTTAGTAGAGACGGGGTTTCACCATGTTGACCAGGATGGTCTCGATCTCTTGACCTCGTGATCCACCCGCCTCGGCCTCCCACAGTGCTGGGATTACAGGCTTGAGCCACCGCGCCCGGCCTTGAAGAGTCTTTTTTCCCTCAGAGATGCCAAATAAATGATGTGCGGCATGCCTGCATTTTGACTGCAACCCATCACATAAGGTCAGGTCTTATTTTCCACATGTGGTGTCATGTGTGTGATGAAAACATTTCAAATTTTGGAGCATCTCAGATTTCAGATTTTCACGTTAGGGATACTCAACCTGAATATATTTTTTTGAAGCTCAAATGAATTCTGAGAGTACTCATTTATGCAAGTTTTTCATCAGCTGTTCATTTTTTCCATCCCAACTTTTTGGTAATGGCTCAAGAATCTAGTTAGGGTCCTCATAATTCTGTATTATATTTCGTTTTGCTCTCTGTGTATCTTCGTAAATTACTAGGTTGAGCTTGGGACAACTTCCAAATTCCTCTTTGTGTCTTTTTTTGTGTGTGTATGAACAATCTAAAACGTTCAGCTTTAAGATTACTATTTTACTAAAGCAGGGAGATTGATAGAAAGTTTTTAATTTCCTTAGAAAATAATAAGAGAAAAATAAAAACATACTTACATTAAACATCCAGTCCTTTTCTTTCTTTTTGGTAACTCACCTCATTTTGATAAATAAAATTTCATGCTGTTCCTTAACATGATTCAAAATTTTAAAATACATTATATGCTGTGAATAAAAACAAACCATACAATGGTTGAAAAAAATACATATTATTAAACTCTGAATACTCACGAAGATTCTGACATGCCCCTTTCCTACTAGTTGAAACACATGGATTTTAAAGAATTACGTGCAAGGTACCTTTCCTGGTTTTGAACTACAAAATAATGCAGAGTATAGGTATGATTTACTGGTGCCTTGGGACAGCAGACACTGTGCATGGGTTTATCAACGATAGATTTTTGATCTTGACTTCTTTGCAAGTCACCTTATGAAGCTCTGATGATGCTTACATTTATAGAACTTTTCAAAGTTTGCCTTTGTGTTATAAACTTATTACATATAGAGGCTGGTTTAGGGAAAGTTAGGAAACCTTTGCCTTTAACACTCCTGAAAGGGCCCTAAGGGGTAATCTAATCCCAACCTATCACTTTATATTGAATAAATACCTAGAGAGGGTGAGTGACTTGTGAAAGCCACACAGCTAAAGCCTGAGATTGGATGAGGACTATGTTTCTTGATTCTTTGAGCAGGAATATTTCTATTTCCCTGTGTGGTTTTCATCTTTTGTTTTTACTTTTAGATATTTATCCAACAGGACCCTGATATCTGTATCTTATCCTTATTACAATGTCCTACTGATCTTTCCAGCACTTATCAACCCCCTTCATCTTTCAAATTGACCCCCTCCCGTCTCCTCCATGACCTATTCTTAGGGGTCCTATCCAGGCTTAATACTGAATCTAAAGGGCCAGTAATGTTTATGGCTCAATATGTTGCTCCTTGTTTGAAGTAGCTTCAATGCCTTACCTCATATAATCAACTATCCATAGTATTCCTAAGAGTTAAATTTATTGACTTCTCACTATGTGCCAGACACTGCTAAAATTTTATATAAATTATGTCATGGATATTGCATGCATTATGTCATTATCTCATTTGAGTAATGAGTTATAAACAGACAAGTCCAGTGAGTGATGCATTCAGAGACAGGTGGTGTTATCCTGCCCCATTTTTAGTGCTATCACTCAGGCGGTAGCTCTGATGCCCTGGGAAGGGGGCCAACACATGAGAGGAGCCTGCCTTGTCTTCCACCGTCTTCAGCTCTCAGCCCAGTGAGTCTTCTGTGCGTGCTGCTTGGTGAAATTAGCCAGAACTGCTCTGCTGGGCAAGATTCTCAGAACTGGGGCTGCTAACATGCCTCGGTAGTCCCATGCTCTGAAATTCATTGTTTGCCACAACTTGGGAAACAATACCCAGGCCACAGGGCATCATGTAAGGCTTAAATAGAGAAGTATCCAGAAAAGATGCCTTGGATGCAGAATGTCCATGGTTGTCTACTATCTCTACTAAATAAACTTGAGGGCAGAAAAAAAGAATCAAACTGGTTTTTGTGAATATTTTTCTGCTGCTGTCAGGTCTCCCTCCTTGTGTATTCAGTGAAATGTTCCTGTTGATAAATGGAAATGTGTAAATGAACAAGAGCCTAGTAGAATTTAACACTAATTGGAAGAAAAATAATACCTACCTATACAAGAAGTAATTAGAGGCCAGGATAAGGATGAGGTAGGTCACAGGAAGCTAGAAAATAGAAACCTTTTGCAAAGGAGTATGTGAGCCAAAGCTAGTAAAGTTAGAGAAGAAAGTGGAGAGACTTGAGCACCAAGGAATAAGATAATACCTTAAGCATTGATGAATTGACCTGAAGTAGACCCATTCATTATACCTAAAAATAGTCAAATGGACTTTGGCTCAAATATTTGTAGGCCACTATGTGAAATGGCAATCAGACTTTTCTAAGGTGACTTCAGAGAGCAGAACTGCCACCAGTGTATCAAGCTTCAGGAAGGCAAAGTTTGGCACAGTATCTGAAAGAGCTTTCTAACAATCACTGCATCTGAAGGCGAGCTGGCTGCCTCAGGAGCAGAGAATTTCCCAATGCTGAAATTGTCCAAGCAGAGTCAGGTGACCACTGGGAAAGGAATGTAAGCAACAGATATGGAGGTTAGACTTGGAGAGTTGGAGATTATAGTAGTCTATATTTTTCTGAAACCAGGAGAACTTGAGAACTCCCTAGTTTAAAATAAGAATGAAAACTAGGCCAGACATGGTGGCTCACGTGTGTAATCCCAGCACTTTGGGAGAGCGAGGCGGGTGGATAACCTGAGGTCAGGAGTTTGAGATCAGCCTGGCCACATGGTGAAACCCCATTTCTGCTAAAAATACAAAAATTAGCTGGGCATGGTGGCAGGTGCCTGTAATCCCAACTACTTGGGAGTCTGAGCCAAGAGAATTGCTTGAACTGGGAGACGGAGGTTGCAGTGAGCTGGGATCATGCCCCTGCCCTCCAGCCTGAGAGACAGAACAAGATTCCATCTCCAAAAACAAAAACAAAAAAACCAAAAACTAAGTGGCAGGATAAGATGAGGATGACTTCGCTGATGTTCAAAGAGAGGCTGGGTTTTGTACCCACACAGATCCCTGCTCAAATTGAGTTTTCTGCACTCTCTGGGATTCATCCTCGTCTCTGTCTATAAAACAGTGCAGTCACAGATACCCTAGAATTTTCCAGTGAGCATTAAGTGGTATATCTCATGGAAATTGTCCTAACACACAGTAGAAGTTTAATCAATGTTAACGTTCTTCCTGTTTCTCTCTTTTAGCAAGAATTAGAAATGTGCCCTAGGGAAAGGTTGAATTTAGAAAATCCAAAGCTATAGAATCTCTAAGAACAGCTCTGAGAAGTAACTTCCTATGGGAAACAATGTTGACCTTCCTCTACTTTTGTTTATATTATATTTCCTCACCTGGGCCTGAGATCCTGGAGATCTTCCACTCACTTGAATAGCAATTTCTTGAACCATCTCAATGGCCTGAATTTAAATGGCTAAGAATCAGTTAGTACTAGCAAGTCTTATAGAAAAGAAGAGAGGATTAGTTGCTCAAGATCATTTTTCCAAAAGCATATCCCTTCCCCTAAAGCTTAGGCAGCAACAGTGAACAAGGATAGCAACACAGACCTCCCAGTATTGTTCCAAATACAGAAAGCAAAGTAAAAGTTGAGACAAATAGTTAAGATATTCAGTTCACAAGCTTATCTATTCCACATGGATCTGGGTTTGGGAAGAAGCATATTTTATTCATCTTTTTCCAAAGGTCTATATGTAACTAAGCTTGTCTGGGAAACTTTGTAAATGTGAGTTCTTCCTGAAATTGTAATGTGTGAATGGATGATGGTGCCCATCACATGTTATCAGGCTAGGACAGAGGAGACTATGAAAAACTTGTTTACGAAAGGAGCATGGGCAGGAGGAAAGGGTTGCAATGGGCTGAGATTGTACCATGGCACTCCAGGGCAACAGAGCAAGACTCCATCTCAAAAAAAACAAAAGGTTATGGGACACTGGATTTGATAGAGAATCATTGATTTGGTGAATCCATGCCTGACGTTTCATTGGTTACTGTTAGTCATGGTGGGGAGAGGGCCATGATCTAAGGTAACCTAATAAAGCTGAAGGAAGGGCATCTGTTCTATAAGTGGAAACCATCTCTTGCTCTCAACAGATAGCGCTTGCAGCCATCTTGTGACTGTGTGAAGACCAGGGCTCTGGAGCACTGGAATGAGTCTTGAGACACACACCTGGAGATTGCCTTGCATGTGGACTTCGGTATGTTTAATAATATATTGCTTTATTGTTTAAGCCAGTTTTAACTGTGTGTCTTAGAATTAACACCAAATGTGTGCTAACTGTAAAAAGTGAGATGGGAGACTACTGGTTCTCATTATAAACTTCTCCAATGAACTTTTAAAAAATAAATTCTATTGTATATATTTGAGGTACACAACACAATGTTATGAGATGGTAACATGGTTACTATAGTAAAGCAAATTAACATATTCATCATCTCACATAGTTATCTTTTTTATGGCAAACACAGCTAAAATCTCATTTGGCAAAAACCCTGAATACAATATCATTAACTATAATCCTCATGTTGTATATTAGATCTGTAGACTTGTTCATCATGCATATCTGTTACTTTGTATCCTTTGAACTACATCTTCCCATTTTCTCCCAGCCTCCGTTGATTTTCTTAAAATACCATGTACTTGTATGATTTTGATTTTTAAAAAACAAAATTTTAAGAAATCCTCATTCTTTCATAAGTGGCAACCACTGTTTTTAGTAGCAGATTTTCGTCTTTTTTATGCTACATACAAACTGAGAAGAGCTTGGGTTCTTGGAATTTCAGAAGCTAAATCAGCCAGTTTATTTAATCTATTTAGTTTAAAAAAACAATTCTGTAAAAAATTTAGTCATGTTAAACCTTTTAACTCTCACATAAGGACAAACAATACTTTAAATATCTTCATGATTTCATGTTCTAACCAGTTGCATGGCATTATGCAGATAGGGTATATTATAACATTAGAATTTAGTGACTAGCAATGTCGTCTCAAAATGTGATTAATACATCCTGCGGCCAGAATTCAATGAAGCAATTTTAAAATGCTCCAGAAATAGCAAGCACTCCTTACAAAAAAAGGGTCATATTCCCGGAAAATGTGACACAGCTAATGTCCATCAACTGACTAATGTTCATTAGCATTCAACACATTAGTAGACTGCCCTTCTGTGAGCACTTCTGTTCTTAATTCGCAATGCTTTGTAGGCTACTAGAAATAGCATGTTTTTAGAGGCCAAACATGGGCTGATATCACAACGTGGACACATCTTTGGTCAGGTTACTTGATGCCTCTAAACTTCAATTTCTTCATCTATGAAACCAAACTCATCCAATAGATTGTTGTTTAGATAAAATTTATAGGTAAAGAGCAATGTGCCTTCATGTATTAATACATGCCATTTTCCTCTCTTTCCTTTCCCCTGATTTTCCTCATTAGAAATTCTGAGAACCTCAAACTTTTTTTTTGTTTTAACTAATAAACGTTCAAAGGGAAGAGTGAATGTAAGTATGGCTTGAGTGAAAGGAGATTCAGATATGTCTGTAAGCTGGTGAGGCCAGGCATCAGCAACCCTATTTATAGGACTCTGAGGAGCCTCCTGAGAAGCCAAGCTCTGTGCCCATGGGATCAGACACCACTGAGCATGTCCAAGGTGCTTGCAGGCTTGGACAACAGCAGTCTGATCCTGAGACACCTGCAGGCATGGAGTTTATCGTCCCAGGGGAAGGTTGTTACAGTAAATGTAGATCACAGTTTTGTTTCATTTTGTTTTCCTAGTCAATATCTGAATCCTACAACAAAGGGCATATTAAAAAGCAGAAATTGTTTTTCACTAAATTCTATAAATAATTTGGAGATGGACATGCTGCTTGAGGTTACCCTCAACAGACTGTGGCACAAGAAGGCTCAAGTCATTCTTCCTCTTCCAAGCAACCTAACCCGTGTCCCCCTCGCTGTCTTCCCCCAACCTACCCACAATACAGTCCTGGCAGTATAAGAACTCAGAGCATTGGGTGGGAGGTCCAGCAAAAATATGAGGGTTCAACAGATGTGTAGGATCAGCAGTGGCACCAGCAGGGTACTTCTGAAAAGCATTAGAGGAGACCTCGGTGCACAGAGTGGGACACCTGCATTTGGGAACAAGAGTGAGGGCTCATGTGTTCAGCTACGTATATGAGACACAGGCCTCCAAAAATGCTGTGCTCCTAATGCACTGAGCTCTTTTGGGCATGAAGATATTCCTAGAAAGATACATAGAAATTGTTGTAACTCATAATTTCTAAAAGTATATTTATGGAAACACATATATATCAATATAATGTATCCCGAAGTTAGGTTATTTTGTGCCTTCATGAACTTTTTAGCATCTGAAAATTATGAAAAGCAACATGTTTAATCATTTATACATTTCATTTGTACAACAGTAGCCCTCCGGGTGGGAGGTATAATTAGTCTCATGTTACAGATGAGGCTCTAAAGATTTAAGTGTTTTAAGTTAATTCAGAATTGGGATTTAAACTCAGGTATTCCCAGCTGTAAACCTGTGCTCCAAACCACTCTTCAGCGTTTCTCACCTGTCTCAAGGTCATGTGGAATTCTAGTTTAAATGGATGACTGGGCCCATGTCTAGGGCGTTGATGTGGCAGCATCATTACCACCTGGGAAATGAAGCATCCCAGGCCCCAGCCCACATCCACTGAATCAGAATTTGCATTTTAACAAGCTCCCTGGGCAATTTGTATATGCATTAAGGTCTGGGAAGCACTGTTCTATGTTGTATTCATCTTCTCTGTCCAGATACCTTTCAAATATAACCATTTGGTATAAAAGCAGTAGTTAACTCATTGTCTGAGATAATCTCACAGCTTTGAGGAAGGATTAGCTAATGCAAAATGTATTCTTTCTTTCTCTGACTGGACCGAGTTTACATGATATCAAAACAACTAGTTGAAAAGTGTACAATTCAGGCAAGCCAATTATCTTGTACCATAGTTGTACAAAAAGACTCTTTTAAGTAAAAGTCTACATTTCAAAACAAAGCACATCATTCACAGGAGGTGTGTGAATAGCAACAACCAGCATCTTTTTTTAAGACAAGGCCAGATGACGATTCCATGCCCGTCATGCCTTCTCCCACTGTAAGGTCAACCCAGCATGAAGTCAGACTCGCATCAACTGGTTGTAGCTTATTTGCCTGAGGAGACAATTCCAGAATAGATCATATCCATGAGACTCTGTGTCTCCAAGGATTCCAGAAATATTAAGCTTTGAATTACTTCTTTACAAAACCCAGAACAAAAAGCTGTGGATTGCTGAGTGTCTGAAGAATTTGTGGTAATTGTGGTAGAAGAAGTCATTTTTTTTCATTGTACCAGGCTTTCGGGACTCTATGACCTAAGCACATTGTAAGGGAAACCTTCAGTTAATTTACGTCTAAGATGACAATCCATGTGAAATCTAAGGTACATGCTTTGCAAAAGAGTTCATAAGTTTGGTT